TGGTAGGTGGGGGAATCGCGCAGGACCGTCGCCTCCTTTCCCTGGCTGTCCGGCGAGGAAGGCACCTGGGCGGACAGCGGCGCCCGGGAAGGGGCGGCGGTAAGGCAGGGGTCGGTGCGTGTGAGGGGGCGGCTGTGTGCCGGTGAGGGGGGAGGTCTGTCCCTGTGAGGGGGCGGCTCGGTCCGTGTGAGAGGGGAGGCGGGTGCCACCGCCTCACAAACTTCACGCTGCGGCGCCCTCCCGCCCGTTCCCCATCCCTCTCAGCCCAAACGGAGGTGCTCCCCGCTCCTGCCGGCGAGGGGGCGGCCCACACCTGCCCGTGTCGGGGGCACAGCCGGTGCCCACCCTCACCGGGGAGGGTCTGCCGCCCACCCGGGGCCTCCTCCTTCGGGGTGGAGGTGGAAACCCCCCCGCTGTCCCGGCCGCGGCGGCAGGTGGGTGGGTGCCGTGTGAGAGGACGGGACGGGCCCTATGGGGGTCGCAAAGGTGCATTTTCCTAAGGGCTTCGGGTTTTGGGGGTTTTTTTGTTGTTTTTTTTCTTTCTTTCCTCCCCTCCCATGGTGTCTCCGTCAGGTGGGTCGCTGCCTGCTTTCCCCCGGAGCTGCAGGGGTGCGCTGGGCCCTGCTGCGGGAGCTGCTGGCTCTGCCGACCTGTTGCCTGGCTGGCAGCTGGCGGGATGGACCCACAGCCTGGGGGTCCTGCAGCCCGCCGTGTCTGGCAGCGGGCATGCCGGTAAAAGAGAGCGAGGAGGAGGCAAGGAGTCCCTCTTGTCTTTCCCTCTCCACCCTATTTATTTAAACCCAGTGTGGTGTGTGTGTGTGTCCCCAGCCCACTCGCCCTGCTGCCGTTCTGCACCCTACTCTGAGGCAGGGGGGTGAGACCCAGAGCCCTGCTCGCTGGGCCTGTTGTACCCGTGTTGAGCAAAGGGATGGGACCCCCAGCACCACAGGCTGGGAGTTTGGTCTTCTGGCATGGCCAACGCTAAGGCACAGCCTGTTAAAAACGGCGGTTTTGCTGCAGTTCTTCTGCTGTCGAGGGTGAAGTTATTGCCTTGAGAAACCTGCCAGGTCTTTTAGTTGTGGAGAGGCAGGCTCAGGGCGACAGATTTTGCTTTTCGTTCGCAGGGTTGCTCAATGAAAAATGGTTTGTGTTAAACTCCTTGTTCACTAGTGAAACGTAGAGTTTGAAAAAGTCTTTGCAGCATCCTGACATGACAACCTGGTAGCTGGTCCTTCAGAGGCTGACCCAGGGCTCGCTACGGAGAAGCAAACCCTAGAGGTACCCAGTGTCTGCTTAAGAGAGAACAGCTGCAGTGCAAGCACAAAGCGGTCCTGGTTGGCTGGGGCTTCTGGAGAGTCCTGCTCGCAGCTAATTGACCCTGCAGATCATCTTTCTTCTGGCAAGACTGCTGCCAGCTGGCATTTGAAGATGTAGAGGCCTTGCTCCCACTTGATGGTCAGATCAACCTGTTCTGGGACTGGTTGTGGGCAACTTTCATAAGCAAAATGTTCTGACTGTTGCAGGGGTGTGTCCTAAACCAAGCTAGAGCAAGAACAGGTTACCTGTATGATTATCAGACAGATATAGGGTGGTTGTGGATCCTTCCCATCCCTGCTTAGATTGCAGTGATTTCTTATATAGACAGCAGGATTGTTTCTCTTCTCCAAGCCATTTAATTCTGATTTTACACACAGATATAATTTGTATATAATGAGCGGTACTCGTGAGAAAATCTTCCAGTCATTCTTCTCAGACTGGAGAATATATGGGCCAGATGCTCTGCAGCAGGTAGATGGAGAGCCTGTTTCCCCCTCTTACACCATTGCAAAGCATGTTATTCTAAGATTTGCAGACTCTCTGAGTGGACCAACATTTGTAACAGTTTTGCTTCTCCACTCTGTGTCCTAGAGAAAATAGCATTCTTGGCATGCACAAAAAAAAAAGGAGGAAACAGTTATTTTGTAACAGAGTATGCACATAACAAAGAGGGGGGAAGGGCAGAAAGATAGAGGGACACAATGTAGGCAGGGTACAGCTAAGCAATCTGAGTTGCAGAAAGTGCTAAAGAGCAAAAAGATGTAGATGCAGAATAGCGTCGTGTTGTTTGGCATCAAGCAGCCTGGAATGATGATTTAATGCTGTTTGCTGCAGTGTTGGTGTAGTAGATGGTGCTGCTTAGAGCCCATTAGTGAGTGATGTGAAACTTGGGACTGGACCAAATCACTTCAGCTCCTTTGCTGATATTTCTCTTACGATAAATGTTTCTTTATCAGCTACCAGCAAAGTGCTCAGCATCATATGAGAGCCCTGAGGAAGGTACTTGTATTCTGGAACAGAAACTAGGAGAAACAGAGAGGGCCAAGTGCCCTGGGATCACAGAGTTATTTGGAATAGCAATTGTTTAAAAAGGGCTACAGAAAAAAAACATGGTATTTTTCTTTGTTTGATATGCAGTCTTTTTCATGGGTCAGGTAAACTAAGATTTCAGATGGAATAGTTTATAGACAAAACTTGTTATTTTCATTTCCCTGCTTTAGGATATTACCTCAGGATTAGATGCTTCACTAGATGCATCATTAGATGCTTTGACAGATATAAGTCTTGTGAGCCTTTTCTGAGCCAGGGACATAGGTCTGTGCAGGTAGGATGGAGATAGAAAGCTAGAATGAGTAAGATATAGTTGGAATTTTAATATTAACTACTGTACAATTAAATATACTTCAAGAGAAATTACCAGTTTACTACTGCACTAAGCTTCTTTGGTAAATGGTAATTAGCACATTGGCATATTAAAGGAAAAAAGCTTACGAATGAACTGTGGGTATGCCTGAAGATCTAATACTCAGTCATACACAGAGTAACTGAGAGGCTCTTTTAAAGGAGTTTGAACCAGATAACAACAGAAGAGGTTTTGCTCACTGTAATCCTGTGGTTGTTAAGTGGTCTTGCTGCCACAGTCCCCTTTCTCTTTTCTGCTGGTTCTCAAGTGCAGTGGATGTTCTTTCCTGCTTTAGTTTAAATCTTTAGCTTGGAACAAAAGAATGGATTTTGTTTGTTTGTTTTGTTTGGGAAGTTTCCTGTAGGTCTGGTGAGCTCAGGAAAAGATTCAACAAGTATTACAGCAGGAGAATAAAGTAGGACTGAAAAGTGGGAAAGGGAGGAAGAGAGGGTGTGTAATTGGGTCATCCTGTCTTCTGAACTGTAACTTTACTTTGATTTACCCCAAAAAGATAAATAGTTTCATGAGAACACACTTTTTAAGAGCAGAGTGCTCTTCAGTCAAGACTTTCCAAGATCTGTTTGATCTTGGAAATCTGTGTTGAGATTCAATTTAAAATATCTGCCACTTTTGCTGTTCAGGGCATTTCCTTACAATACAATCAGAAAAAAAGGATTTTCTGCTTTTATATGAAGATTGAATTTATCCTCATGCTATTAAAAGATACAGGTTTTTAATCCAGAAAAAAATGTAGCAAATCCTGTGGCTAGTAACATGCAGTATATCCAGGTACTTGATAATAGAGAATCTCTCCTTTCTTAAAAACAAGTCTTTCCCCACTGTAGTGAGCACTGGTTTTGGATGTTTCTTGTTGGAATTTTACTCTTATTACCATTTGGGGGTATAAAAAAAAGAAAAAATATTTATAACAATTATGCAGCTCTGAAGTTTTAAAGCAAATGCTAGCAGATAAATGAGTGCAGTCTCTAAATCAGGGACTGGAGGGAGTGCTGAAGAGGCATTTTAAACAGCTTGGAGAGGCTTGATACGAGCTCATGACTGAGTGGTACTCTCAGTGTGCTGAAACCTCAGAAGTATGACTGAGGACTATACGAAATGAAGTTCCATTTTATTTCTCATCCTTTGGTCCTGCATTCCTTACTCCAGCTCTGAATCTTGTGAGAACTGAGATTTGTCTTTTCCATCTCACAACTGTCTATATTTCAAAGTGATCCAACCTTTCATTGGTCAGTACAACATGGCACAAATGCTAACAGTGAACATCACAGATGGTGCTTTCCTGAAAAATATGGAATTCCACTTCTTCTTCTTTTACCTGGGAAAATAGTCAAGAAACTGTCTAGATAGAGGATCTTGAAATATTTTCTTAAAATAAATTTTAAGTTACTTTGAATCTCTATACTAATTCTAAGAGTCTTAGAATACCATTTTTACATTCTCATCTTAGTGTATTTTTTCCCCTTGTTCTTTTATGGAAGTACACACTGGCATGGTAATAGAATACTTGTTAAGGTAGACATTGATTGTCCTGTGTATCCACAGTGGTACCAAAAGCAAATACACCTTTGTGTTTCTTTGGGTCTCCAGTTACAGTAATCATTAAAAGTTACAAAAGTTACAAAAAGTTAAATCCTAAAAGTTACATGTAACAGCAGTAGTTTAGAATATTTCCTGTAAGGGAAAAAGTTCAGTATTTATAGTTATTCAAATAGTAGAAGAGGATTTTCAGTCTCAGACAGTGTAACTCTTTTGCAGGAATGGGAAGTTACATATGTATCCTCATTGAGGGTGAACACTGAATTCCAGAAAGGAAATGTAATGATAGTATTGTCTACAATGACTTCTTTTCTTTCTTCTATAAGATATAGTTAACTTTAACTTGTAAAAGCAAAAATTTTTTTTGCAGAACGCTAGCATAGGCAGCTCTTAAACATCTATTCCCTATAAATACTTAGCCAACATCAGCCAGTTAAGTTCACCTGGATACCCCAAATTATCCCCTAATAAGGGAGCTCACCTGGATACCCCCTAATATCCCCTAATGGCTTTACAATTTTAATTCTATTTATAATTTCTAATTCTGCTTTTAAAAAAACCACCAAAAAACAAACCCAACCATAACCCACAAAAACATTGCATCTTGAAATGTGAATTACAATTGACAATAAAGCATGCCTGAGTTAATTGGCATATCTTCTTTTGATTCATGAAAGTACCTCCCCAGAAGAGCAGATGAAGGGCAGCAAATATTTCCACACTGTCCAGGGATGGGCTTTTGCTCATGGTGTTGTTGTTACCTAACCAAAATATGCCGTGATCCCATGAGAAATTGATGGAATATAGTAGGATGTGTAAGGTT